ACTGTAAGAAGTTGTTTCTAAATGGATCCGGAACTCTCTGTGTACTATTGTAATTATATATTATGTGTTTATTCAAGTATATTCTAGAACAATCATGTAAAGTATTCTTGTATGTTATAGAACCTTCTGGACATTTATAAGATCTATATAAGTGTGTTGTTTGTGAGTGTTAGTTTTAGTTTGGTTAGTTGGTTTTTGAGCTCAGTGTTGATTAAGAAATAAGTTTGGTGAACAGATAGCTAGGAGCGTCTGTTACATTTTTTGGTGGCAGCGGTGGGATAGTTCTCAAACGGTTGTAGAGGAAAGACCCACTATTGTATCTCTGCAAGAGAGAGAGACTAAAGTTTATAGTGTCTGGTGTGACTGTTTATGTCGGATAACAGTCGAGAGAATCAAGGGCGGTATTCTCTACGGGACTTACCAAGACACGACTACAGAGGACAGTTGCGAGGATTACATATTTTCAGAGAGAGTTATACTTCAGTTGATACGGAAGACTGTACTGAAGTGGAAGAAAGTCTTATTACAGGAGTTAGTGATCCTATGGAGCAATTAGCGGCAGCTTTGGCAAGTTTAGCAAAGCTTCAGGAGGAGCAGCAACGTCGTTGGGAGGAGGCCCAGAGACAAGCTGAAGAACGTCGTCAGGAAGAGGAGCGACGAAGAGAGGAGGCCCAGAGACAAGCTGAAGAACGTCGTCAAGAAGAGGAGCGACAGCGAGAGGAGAGAGCTGAAGAACGTCGTCGAGAAGAGGAGCGACGAAGAGAGGAGGCCCAAAGACAAGCTGAAGAACGTCGTCGAGAAGAGGAGCGACAGCGAGAGGAGCGAGCTGAAGAACGTCGTCAAGAAGAGGAGCGACGAAGAGAGGAGGCTCAGAGACAAGCTGAAGAACGTCGTCGAGAAGAGGAGCGACAAAGAGAGAGACATTATGAAGAGATACAGGCCATGCAGGAGCAGCATATGCAGCAGATAGAGATTATGAAAGGAGTTCTAGCAGAAAGAGAAGGGAATAGTCCTCATTTAAAAATATCACCATATCAAGAAACGGAGGATATCCAAGACTTCATTGAAGCATTCGAAGGTATTATGAAGATACAAGGGGTGAATCGGACAAATTGGATTCTACGTCTGACACCGTTACTAAGTGGCAAGGCTAGAACTGTTTGTACTGATCTGGGAACTACTACTGATTATGATGGAGTCAAGAAAGCTATTTTGGAGCATTATAACATCAACACAGAGAGATGTAGAAGAAAGTTCAGGAGTCATGTTTGGACAAGAGATCAAGACCCAACTGATTGGATAGCTAGAGGAGTCAAACTGGTGAAGAGATGGTTAGTACCAGAGAATGGAATGGAACAGGTAGTTAACAAGATTGCAGTAGAGCAGCTTTTAAGTGGATACCACAAGAGA